TGGGCCTGTGTTGCGCCCTTGCTAGTATGCCTTGGTGAGTCTCTCTTGTATCCGAAGGTTTATTGACTTCCTGCCTGCTAACAGGGAAGTTTCCAGTATCCGTTGCGCTTACCTCCCTTATTGCAGTGCACTTTGGCCCAGCTCAAAAGCTTTGGGTTGAAAAGGTCCAGGACAGAGTTGCAGTGACGGCTAGCATGTTGAGTGACATGAAGGTTGTGAAGATGCTTGGTCTCACAATTGCCATGGAGAATCTTGTCGACAAGCTACGAAAGGCTGAGCTTCACGCTTCAGAAAAGTTCCGTCGACTGTTGGTGTGGCAGATTCTCCTAGGTAAGCCTTTGAGAGAGAGGCCGGGCAAATTGATGATTTTGATACTGTTGACTAACCCGTGTCACAGGAAACGGGCCTGAAATGATTGCCCCATTCGTTACCTTTGCAATGTATGCAGTGATTGCTGTCGTGTCGAAGGATCAGACCCTCCTGTCTTCCCAAGCCCTTGCTGCCTTATCTCTCCTCGGTTTAATGACTGCTCCTCTGATCGCCTTTTGCCAGGCCTTGCCGGCGGTGCCCCAAGCAGCAGCTTGCTTTGGACGCATCCAGGAGTTTTGTCTCAAGTCAATACCGCCCTCGTCTCCGAGCTCACACGCTCCGCCGTCAAGAGATGAAGCATCAGTGTCTGCGGTGCCGCTGAGGACCCTGATTGTAACCCGCAGTCTAAAGAAGAAGCTCTTTTCCTTTCACCACGCGGATATTAGCTGGCCGCCAAATGACACGCCAGTCATTCAAGATCTCAGTCTGACAATTTCTGCTGGCTTCACGGCCATCATCGGATCAGTTGCCTCTGGCAAGTCTACCCTTTTGGCATCTCTCATAGGGGAGACGACAATTCAAAGTGGCACAACAACCCCATGCTTGTCACCTGCTGCATTTTGCTTTCAGACACCATGGATAATGGACGATACGCTGCGGCACAACATAACTGGTGGGTCGGAGTTCGATCAGAAGTGGTACGACTTCTCGGTCTTCAGCTGTTGTCTGGACAAAGATATCACCACAATGCCCATGGGAGATATTACACTTGCTGGCCCAAATGGCTCATCATTGAGCGGGGGACAGCGCCAACGACTGGTTGGTATTTTGTGTTATGGCAACTATGAAAGAGCTTTCTCATGCTGACGAATATCAGACACTCGCCCGTGCTGTCTACTCGAGGCTTCCCGTTGTGGTCTTGGATGATACACTCAGTGGACTCGACCCCACCACTACTGGAACCATCTTGTCACGACTGTTCAGCAACCGTGGGCATTTCCGCGCAGCAGGCATATCCCTTGTGATTGCTACACACAACAGTAAGCTGCCAACAAAAAGATACGCCTTTAACTACCGACTCCTAACATGGAATGACAGAAAATATTCTTCACTACATGGACACTGTTATTATTTTGGGGGAAGGAAGGCTGAGGTATTCGGGAAAGCCTGAAGACATCACTGACCAAGAACTCGGCCTTGACGTCTCGAAACAAGCAATATTCTCCACGCACAGCGGCGATATCCAAGATACTAATCGTGAAGGGCAGCCTTTGAATATTCCCGCGATCAACTCTCTGGTGTCAGATGTCTTGGATCCAGCCAGGGGACAAGCACCCAGACAAGAGGGCAGCTGGGCAGTCTACGGATACTACTGCCGAAGTGCTCGGCCCTGCCACATAGTCCTTTGGATAGTGTGTACCACAATGAGTGCCGCCGCTGCAGCAGCTTCCAGTACGCACACATCTTGCTCTCTCTCCACTTCGTGCGCATTGATCTTCTTCTGATTCCTCTGTCAACAGCACTCTGGCTACAGCACTGGACGGACATGAACGAGCACAGCCCAAACCAAGATCTTGGCTTTCGTCCAGCGCTACTACCTCCGTACATCACGACAAGTTCGTCTTATCGACATCGAAGCCAAGGCCCCCTTGTACAAGCATTTCATCGAAACGGTGACAGGTGTTGCCACGATCCGGACGTTTGGCTGGGAAAGCACATTTTTGCGGCGCAACCAAGAAATGCTAGACCAGTCACAAGCTCCGTACTACATGCTGTTGTGTATTCAACAGTGGTTGGCCTTGGTGTTGGACTTGATTGTTGGTGGTATCGCGGTGACCCTTGTTGCCATTGCAATGACCTCGAATGGGGCTATCAGTGGCGGATCTCTAGGAGTGGCATTGGTTCTGGTCTTGAACTTCAACATCAACCTTGCTGGGACCATACAGAGCTGGACGGCGCTCGAGACCTCCGTCGGTGCTGTGGCAAGGGTCAGGGATTTTGTCAAACACACTCCTTCAGAAACTACCACCCACTCAGACGGACCACCCCCTGGCGTCAACTGGCCGTCGAAGGGAGGCATTGAGTTCCAGGGTGTCGAAGCACGATACAGCTATGTAAGCTACCTACCTGCTTTACCAAAGTTTGCGCATCTACTGACTCTCCTTCAGTAACCATGCAGAGCCTGTCTTGAAAGGCTTGACCTTGAGCATCCCCGCTGTCAGAAGATAGTAATCGCCGGCTCCACAGGCAGCGGAAAGACATCGATCATCATGTCCTTACTCAAACTCGTTGATGTCACGGCAGGCGAAATCACGATTGATGGCGTTGATCTTGCGGGATACCTGCCCAGTGCAGTCGCCGCGAGACTGAACGTCGTTCCGCAGGAGCCATTCTTTCTCCCTGGGTCAGTTCGATACAACTTCAACCCGACCGGCGAACTACCAGATCAAGATATAGAGGCGGCAATCCGTAAAGTTGGGCTCTGGGAGAAGCTTCAAGGCGTTCAGGGGCTGGACACGGAACTGGTATTGTCGGAGTGGTCTCATGGGGAACGCCAGCTGCTGTGTCTAGCTCGCGCTTTGATGTCGCCAAGCAGAATACTCATTCTTGACGAGGCGACGAGCAGGTGAGCCGAGGTCTCAATTGGACATCGTAAACGTCACCCTAACCTACTGGGATTTAGTGTGGATGACGAGACCGAGACAATCATGCAAGAAGTGGTTGACGCTGAGTTCAAGGAGCAAACAGTCATTGCCGTCATTCACAGGTTCAAGCACATACACAAATTTGACAGGGTGGCTGTCTTGAACAGGGGTGTTCTCGTCGAGTGTGACTCGCCACAGGCCTTACTGGCACAAGATTCAGAGTTTCGACGTTTGTATCAGGGAGGACGATAACAGTTGGGTCATGGTCAATCGTATTTCACTCGTCAATTCGTTGTTGCTCATCATTGCTTACAAAACATACCCCCAAACAGACACCGATCCGTCAAATAAGGTAGAAAACCCTTCCACTTCCTCCAGCTCCAGACGTACACCGTACCGTACCTAGCCACTCAAAACCCCGCTCAAAATCTGCGACCCCCACCACGTCGACTCCGTCTTCGCACCCCCCGCGTCCCTCCTCTTCCGTTCCAACTCGACCGCAAGCGTCAAGAATAACTCATCCATCTGGACCTGTGTCATTGCCCTCAGTAATTCGACCTTGCCCTCAATGTACTTCTTCGTACCCCCCGGCACGGCAACTTTCCCCGTTGCATCTGTCCCGACAAACTTGGCAATGATTTCAGTCTTTTTGCCTTCGGGGGTCAAGTTGAAGGAGCCGGCTGTTCCGTAGGACCACTGGAGGGATGTACCGGGGAGAATGGAGAAGGAGACGAATTTCTTGTCGATTTGGTAGTTGTAGGGACCGAGGGAGGCGGGGGATTTGCTGAGGGAGAGGGTGGGGAAGGTGGCTGTTGCTATGGGTGGGGAGGGGCGGGAGGGGGGGCCGCGGGAGAGGGAGAGGGAGGAGGTGGTGGGGTTGTAGGTTAGGGTGTAGAGGGGTTGGGTTGGGTTGAAGGGGGGGGAGAGGGTGAGGGAGAAGGGGAGTTTGTTTGGCTTTGAGAGGGGGATTCCCGGGAGGGAGAGGAGGGGGTAGATTCCGGGTGGGAGGTGGGATTGAGGTTGGGGTTGGATTTGGGGCGGCGGTTGGACTACTTGTTGAGGGTGATATTGCTGCTGTGGTTGGTATTGTTGCTGAGGCTGGTATTGTTGTTGAGGCTGGCGCGGGTAGGGTTGGTGTTGTTGGGCTTGCTGGGCCTGGAATTGGGGTTGGTATGGTGGCTGCTGGTGCTGTTGGGCCTGATACTGAGGCTGTGGGGGTTGGTATGGGGTTGAGGGGTGGGTTTGAGCTGGCTGCTGAGGTGGATAAGAGGGTTGTTGACTTTGATATGGCGCTTGGGAGGGGCTCTGGAGAGGGACCTGAGGCGGGTAGGCGGATTGACCTTGGTAAGCTGGCTGTTGGGAAGGCTGAGCTTGAGGCTGCCATGACTGTTGTTGAGGGATCTGTTGTGGTTGTTGGTATGGCTGTTGATATCCCGTTGGTGCCGGAGCTTGAGAATATCCATAGACTGGCTGTTGAGGTTGCTGCCCATATGCTGGTGCACCCGCGGGTGGCGCTTGATAGCCGTAGCTAGCGCCACCCTGTGGGGGGTAGGCGTACTGGGGTTGCTGGTATGCCATTTTTACGATCTGTGAGCTTTTAAAAGATGATGACACATAATCTCCACGAAGTCGAATGCGATGAAGAATGAAGGTTTCCCCTCAATTTTTTCCGGCGAGGGGTCAATCTGATAAGGCATCAATGCGGCGACCCAGAGTCTCCCAAAGCGGCTAATGGTGTGAGCAGCTGAAGAAGGATTGCAGATAACTCACCCGGCTATTGAGACCTTGCATCGCAAATGCACCAATGGGAGCTGTTACCAACAGCTACCCCTGGATTTGACCTAAACTTCTCCTCACGGAAACCAAGCTCCAGGGGCCTAGATCCGGCCCAGTTTTTCGAGGCTTTTCTTCCCTGTCACGGCCCAAATGGGGACGATATGAGTCATATGACAGCATCCGAAGTCAGTATTGGGTTGGCGACAATCCCAACGTGGCAGTCACTTCAGTTGTGCGTGCTTTGCTTGAGTAGACCATCGAGTGTATCAAGGTCAGATGGCCGAGCGGTCTAAGGCGCCAGGTTCAGGCACACCTGAATTCCCGTTTGAAGCCATTCAAATGTCTCCTGGTCTCGCAAGAGGCGTGGGTTCGAATCCCACTCTGATCAATCTTTTGCTTTACACCGACCTACAAATATACGGTCTTTGAGGTATATTTTGCTCAACCTGAAGTAGGAAGCGTGATTCTTTTTGAGGCTTTGAGTTCCATGGATATCGTCTGCACGTTTTGTGGAGCGTTGTGGTTATGAGACTTGGTTGAGAGTCGTACTGAGAGAGGATGTGGCTGGAATATCGACAAAAAGATCCTGATCACAGGGCGTGATACATTTGCACATGTTGACCAAGAGACGGCTGCCTAACTGTTCAGTATTTCTTCGGTATAGCTGAGGGCTCTCCGTGGTGTTGAAGGGATGACGGATACACCAGGCATGCTACGACCTTGCAGTGATAGCGGCCATCAACTATGCTGCATTCTGAACATACCCGACCTCAGCGGGACACCCTCTACCTATCAGTGGTTCCTATGCTGTTGACGCAACAGCTTCATGCCCCTCATAGATTACGGCCGTAACCCCCAGCAGACACCTGGCAGTTGAGCGGGTTGAAACGGATTCTTGCCAGAGTACCGAGAGCCCAGGAGCAGCAGGGCCCGAAGCGTGCCTTCCATTGCAGGATGGCTACAAGCGGAGAAACCAGGCCACAGCGGAGTAGTCTCCACCATGCGTCAAACATCCAGAGTTTACAGCGAGTGAGGGAAGGAGCAGGGTGTCCTGCCCGTGTCCTGCCCAGCAAGCAAAGCCCGGCACCAATTTCCATTGACAGCCCAGCTTTTGCTCCCACAACAACTCGCGAACCAGAACAAAATTCTACCAAATCAACCGAGTTCACCGCACCGATCCAGGAGGCAAGAGATCATGGAGGTCTCAAAACGACGGCGCCAGTCACCGCGCAATTATCCCAACTGGAAACCAAGGCGATGCTTTCTGCCCGAGTCGCTACCCAACGAGCTGATCAGCGCCGTCATCTGCGAGGTGGACTCGGTACGCGATCTCGCTAGTCTCATCACCACCTGTCGCGCAGTTTACGAGAATTTCCGAAGCCGAAAACAACACTGCTTGGTATGCGTGATGGAAAACGCGCTCGGACCGGCCGCCCCAGATGCCGTCTTCCTCTCCTGCCACGGCTACAACTCAGAGTTTATCTACGAATTCGACGGCGACCCGGCATGGTGGGAAGTTTTGAGCAGCGTGGCCAGCGACCACTTTCGCTTCTTGTATGACAACAAGACCACTCCCTTCTCCTCGCTTGTTCAAGGAAAGCATGATGAAGTAATGGCAGTCTGTACCGAACTCTGGACCATGGAGTTCCTGACGAATCTCTATATCGACACCCGCCTACGCTCATTCCGCAATGTTGGCCGACAGACCGCCCATCCTCTGACGAAGAGTCTCAAATTGCTGAGAAAGACAGCCTGCGCTCCACCCTCTTCGGCCGAGAGACTACGTGTCCTGAGGGCATTCTATCGTCGACAACAGCTCTGCAACATCTGGGCGCCGACAGAGAGGGTGGAACTTATAGGGGATTACATGGTGTTCGACGAGGAGATGATTGCGATTAACAAAACAACTGTGGATGACGACGATTCCGAAGATCACCGACCTCTTGGACTGCTCGCTATCTTCGAAGAGTGGGAACAACAGCAAATAGACCACATCAATGTCTTTGTGTCACGGCTGTGTGCGGCTCTCTGCCTTGCCGCCGATGCACATAAGGACCCCATCTCAGAAGATCTGCTCGGCGACATGATGTGTAAAGCGACAAGCCTCGTTAAATATATACACGACCACAGACGCATTGCCGACCACGCTATCGATAAAGTTGCTTTGTTTCCTAGATGCGACACAAACTGCCGCCTAAGTAATAACGGGGATGGCAGAAATCACCCCTACGGAGAAGCTATCGACAAGTTTTCTTTGCCTTTTTTTACAGCAGAATGGAACAGCTTGCGACGAGAAGTTTGCCCAGACGACTACATGGACGAGGGGTTCTGGTGCAGGTTTACAAAGGACGCGGTAGACTCACCCCCATTCGGGTGGGTCGACGCCGTTGATGGGTGGTACCGGAACGGGATCGGAAGGGCTTTCGTGGGGAAGATAGATGAGGTGGATGACGGATACAAGGATATAGCCGATGTTTACGATCCCGGGCAAGACACCTACGCACTTGGTGTCTTTAGGGTCGCTGGGTTAGCGATGTGGGATCGAAACCGTGTTGAAGCTATCAAGGAACTGCCCCAGCTGGTGTTTCGAGGCCTGTTGAAGACCGGGTGGGCTCAGGTTGTGATGGATTCTGACGCTGATTCCGACACTGATCCTATGGACTACAATAGTGAGTTTGATTTCGACAGTGACGACGACTTGCCACCCCACATTGATGAGGATGCGGAGTGGGAAATGATGCAGGAAGAGGAAAGGCTACAAGCTGAGGAGGAAGAGCTGCAAGATGAGGAGAAAGAACCAGAGAGTCAAGGAGAAGCCTCAGGTAGCGATTGGAAACCTTCAGATAACGAGGAGGATGACACAAGTGATTGGTAGGACTTGGAGGGTGACGACAAGAAGGCACGGATGTTGGTCGGGACACAATCAATGGCTGAAGAACGGCTGTATGTAGTGGCAATCTGTTATCAGTTGGTGAGAGAGCATCCCCTGTACGTGCCTCTCTGCTAGGGCTCAAATAATCATTGTACGATCTTCCTCGAGGAGTAATTTTGCCTTTTCCAGTGATCTGTGGGTCGCACAGTGGTGAACGCACCAAGCTTCAACAGACCCATGTTTTACACCAAAGTTGCCCTCAGCAATTTCCATGTTCGTGCGTGACCCTGAGCAGCTCATGAGCTAGGGTCAGCGATGGGTGAGCCTAGGTAGCCTACACAGCCGTGTGGCCTAATTTTGGTCCCTCGACTAAAGTTGCTATTTGGAGATTCCGGTACGTTCCTCGGTTTATGCTAACCATACTATATAGGGTGCGGCTATGTACCATGTCATATTATGTACTGGTACATTAAATACCGTCCCAGTTTTGGAGCCAGGATACTATTTACTATGCTACAGATTGAACTAGGATGTCATGTACTATCCCACACCATGTACCAGTATATGCCCGCGGTCCCAATTCTGGGACTTAACTTTCCAGCTTGCCAGAATTTGGGCTACCCATTTGGTTTTGAGTATATAAATATGTAAAACTCTGCACTTTATACAATTCAATTTAATTCAATTTGGTTTATAGAGCCTGTGCGCCTCGCTGGTGGCGGGGGGAGGTGCTGTACCCCTTCACCGCGCTACTTTGCATAACCTGGCTCCCCCGCTGTTTAAGGTGTCTGTTTCCTCCACTACCTGCCTGTTATCCCTTTACAATTTCCCTGTTTTACTCCTCTGTTGGGTTTGTGTTACACTGGTTACCAGGCCCACGTCCTGGCCTCTTTTCCTGCGACAAACTTATACAATTCTTCCTCTGTGTCAATCTTATTGTCTTCTTTAGTCTTTCTTGTGACTTTCTACGTAATCGGGCATACCGTAGTATGCCTTGGGTCGTGTGTAGCTCCGCACCTGCACCACGGTTTGGACTTAGGGGGCTAGCCAAAACATAGATCTATAGACCTTCATATCCACCCACTCAATTCATTCCCAAAAAAAAAGTTATCAACCAACAACTGCTTGCCCACCCCAACGTCTCCTCATCGTCACACTCCCCTCGCTGACTTTCACACCCTCCGTGACTCGCGTCCGCCGGTCTACCCTCCAGATAAAGGCCTCCCATTGCTCCTTCTCCTGAAGTTTCTGCATCGCGTCGACTCCAGACCAAAACGCCACCGTCTTCGTCTTGCAGTCGTAGTTCAATGTGGTAAAAACACGAATGATATCCCTCTTCATCTCGTTCTCGCTGAGACCTGTGAGCTCCAGCTCTGCCAGTTCGTCGCTCATCTCGTCCTCTCGTAGAATCGAGTGCAGCAGGTTGTCCGGGGGCGGCGCGGCGGCCCCTCCCTCCTCCGGCGACTTCCAGAATACAAGTATGAAGTGTGGCAGCTGCAGCTGCGAGTTGTCCTTGAAGTGCGGAAACGACACGGAATACTCGGCGATGTCGGTGGGGGCGAGGAGATGCCCGCGCGGGGTTGTGAGGCCGAATGGCAGCAGCGGACTCCAGATGCTGAGGAGGGTGGAGAGCTCTGCTGCCCAGGGGGCGGTTGACATGGCAAGCTGTGGGGAGACGGCATTGACGTGCTCAGGCGTGGTGATGACCGCCCGTGGGGCGCGCGCGGTTGTCTTGATGGCGCCGCTGCACAGGTCCGCAAGGATTCCAGAGAGCCAGTGGGCTGGGTAGCCAATGTCGGCGAGGTGGGCGATGAGGCGGAGGAAGGCGGTCAGGTTGAGCGGCGAGTACACGGGGCTCATGGTGACTGTCGGGCGTGTGAAGGGCACGCAGATCTTGAGGAAGAAACCTTGGAGGGACTTCTCCAGTGCCGAGCGCGATAGGAGATCTTTTCCTCTTGAAAGTCTTTTGGTGGGACATCGCCCCCAGACGATGTAGCCTTCAGTGATGAAGTCTATGGAGTCCAAGTGGGAATAGCCTGCGTTCATGCGCATGGCTTGCAGCATGGCCGACTTGCCTTTAGGGTCGTCGTCAACTTCATCCTTCGTGTACCCGGTTATCCGAGCCATTGCGAAGTGGTCCTTGATGCGGTTGTCGTCATGCAACACCAAGTACTCGGACTGGAAGTCCTGGTGAGATCTGAACTCGGGTGGGTTCAGGAGGACGGTGAACCTCAGATTGGACTCGCCGTTTTCACGGAGCAGCGGCCGCGCGTAAAGAGCGACGGGGAAAAGTCCGCCGATGTAATCACTTCTGGCGTTAGAAAACTCTGTAAGTCAAACTTTGCACCAGACGGCGAGAACTTACGGAATATTGCTCATGTGGATTCGGTCATACTTGCGGGGGAATTTGGCTGGATCGATTTTGGCATCCGGCGAAGGGGACCGGCTCTCGAGACAGTCCCAGCGAAGGCGCTCCATAATGTCAGTCATCTCTCCCACCATGGCTTCGATCATAA